GTGTTCTACTCGTTTGAAATCTGCCGTTCTTCTGAAGCGTTTTCTGGAAACCATCATCCCTGAAATGCTCAGCGTTGTTATTGGTGTACCGCCAGTGAAAAATCTCCCTTCCCCCCTTCTCTCTAAAAACCCAATTTTCTCATATATATATATATATATATATATATATATATATATATATATATATATATATATATATATATATATATATATATATATATATATATATATATATATATATATATATATATATATATGAGAAAATTGGGTTTTTAGAGAGAAGGGGGGAAGGGAGATTTTTCACTGGCGGTACACCAATAACAACGCTGAGCATTTCAGGGATGATGGTTTCCAGAAAACGCTTCAGAAGAACGGCAGATTTCAAACGAGTAGAACACAATCGCCGGGCTGGAGAGATGTTTCTAAGAACGCCAAAACCAGATGGTGGTCCAGATTTGGAAGACCAAATCGTTACAAAGGTCCTTTTATATGCGATTCTGGAGTCTCAATTTCGATTGAAAGCAAGGTATTCGATTTCCAGGCTTTAGACAACCTAATTATTTCCGAATCTAAGAATTATGTCTAGATTTCTTTCTATCTCGCGATCTACTGCTCTTTGGCTATCTGAGTCCCTAAGCCACCCTCCTTTGGCTAGCTAGAGAGGGTTGGGTAATTTCAAAATTTGAAGGGCCTGTTTCGACAAAGTCCCACTGGGACTCAAATCAATTTGGATATTTCGTTAGAATCAACGCAGGAACCGAAAGGGAGATATCTAATATTTGCATCCCAGTTGGAAGGCAATCTGAAGGCATTAGGCTCTTTGTAAAAGCATTGAATGTAGCTTTAAAAATCCTAGAAGGGAATGAAGCTGCTGAAAAGGTTCTATACTCTCCCGGGAGAGAAGAAGCTTCAGTTTCCCTAGATTTGATTGACCATATGTCCCGGGTGGAGAAGAAGATGAGCAGCTGTGGTTCCCTTCCATATCCTCAAGTCTACTGGAACAAGATGTTATGCAGGGTTCTAGGATGCCTAGCCTCACTGAACAGGGGAAAATTGTTGATTCAGAAGTGATTAAGGAAGATGAAGATGAAGAGAAGAAACTCCAAAAGTTATTTCAACCAGCTTTTGAGGCCTATTTTGAAACAATCTTTATGGCAGTGGAAAGACAGATGCAAGAGGCTTTGGCGAAGACATCACTACTGGATAAACTCAAAATGGGACTTTTTCAAAATATGTCGGGGAAGACACTTAGAGCAACACGAGAGACAGTGAAAAGCATGGAAAAAGTGACCCTTGTTCAATTAGAAGATTCTAAATACCCAGCATTCATTTCTTGTTCCAAAGCTGATGAAAGGCTTGTGGTGGCAGATTTTCTAACGGGGGAGCAAGCTGAAGAGTCACAAGCTTCAATTGGTTAACATTTTGAACCTACTGTCTCATTTCTTGTATGCATTCAAGGGGAAAGGAAAAAAGAAGTCCTTGGTTTTTGTTTTAATGTTTTCTGTCTTAAGTAGCTCAGGGGAGGGTCAAATGAAGCTGGGTTACTCTTTCACCTTTCCAAGGGTTTAGAGACTGGGTTTTCAAGAGTTTTTTGAAGCTGAGACCTTCTGTTTAGACTTTAGAGTGTGCCTAAGGGTTCTGGTTTTGTGAATGGGTTTCAGAGTTGGAACAAGTAGTCCAACACACAGTGAACGGGAGCTTACAACTGGTGCTGCTTACTTTCTGCACCAACGTTCATCACTTGTACTAGTAGGGTCCCAGCTTTGCTTTCAAGTTTTTGGACTTTTATCCTTGATAGGCTGTAAAGGAGGTTGAATTGACGGTACATTTGGTGGGATCTATGGGTATAATTATAATCTACAAAAGGTGTTGCACGGTTGAAGATAGCGAAATGGTTGCAGTTGGAAGGGTGTACATCCACCTCCTCTTTTATTTTAAGAACCTGTTTGGGAGTGATTAACTTATGGATAAAGTGATTTTCACAAAACTGAAAGTAGAAGCACCTCATACCTGCTTCTCTGAAACGGTGTTCTATGTACAAAATAGTGGTAGTGAAAAGCCGAAGCTGACATGCCAAACAGAGTAAAATCACTTCTACTCAAAGTAGAAGCTAAATTATTAAAAGCGACACACTCCCAAACACCATCTAAGTATCAGGACAGCTTATCCTTTATTGTTTTGTTTTCTTGGCAGTTTCCTCTTGTACTCTTTTTTTGGTTTGGTTTTCCTTTTGGCTTGTTGTTGGGTTGGCCACCCCCTCTTTTCCTTTCACCTTTTCTTTTAATAAAACTTTTCCTTTATATATATGTGTGTGTGTGTGTGTGTTTTTTTTTGTGTTTTTTATATATTATTTAATAAAATAAAATATTCTTGTCACCTCTTGTTTTGTAGAACTTTTGACATAATTTTTTAACATGTAATTTTAATTTTTTATTGATGTCCAATTTGAAAATAAAATAATTTCAAAAATCATGGGTTTTCATCTCGTAATTCCCATTTTGTAATCAAAATAAGGACGGAGGGAGTACACACACTCCATAAATAAAATATATGGAGTATAACAGTATTTAAGCAAAGAAATTTCATAAAACATTAATGTCCAAAAGTAAAAAGTCCCATTACATGAAATAGCTAGCAGATCCATATTTTATTTAAAAAGTCATGGATTCTCAATTTGGTTTTCCCGCTCATTTGGTCTTCTAATAAAAATGGTAATTGTTCACTCCATATGGTAATTACTCAATTAAAATGGAGTTACACGGGTCATTAATGGAGTTACCAGAACTGAGTAATTACTCAATTAAAATGGTAAGTAATTTAAAGTAATAATATAATATTTAAACATAATTACACTTACCGTTAATAAATCAATCCTTTTTTAACTAGTTTATACGAATGGTAATAATTGTATTTAATTATATTTACTAATATCTATGTAATAATATCTAATAACTTACTCCCTCCGTCCCCCTGTATTTGTCCACTTTCATTTTTACACACCATCCAATGCACTTCTTTAATCCATTTTATCTTGTAATTTGTATATTAAAAAATTATAAAAATTATATATTAAAGAAGATCACACATGACTATATTCAGGCTTACACATTGAGAGAATTTGATGAGTCAAAGTGCTTAGATGAACAGTTCCAAAAGTCAAATGTGGACAAATACAGGGGGACGGAGGGAGTATTTCATTTAAAAATGGTAATATACACATTTAGTTTGTAACACCCTAATCCGTCCAGGTCTGCAGCCCCTTTCGGACTAAAGTATTTAACTTGGTAATCGTAAAAATTTAAAACTTTTCAAACACACTTTATTAATCCCAATAATATTTTTCATAACATATACAGTACGGAGTATTCAACAATATTGCGGAAGCGATTTTAATATTGAGATATCATAAATCATTTCAAACTTGTCACATCTATCCCGACAATCTCGCCCCATCTGCCGCCAGGATCACATTAATCTTTCTGTTTACCTGTGTGTAGCAAATAAAACATACTACACGCTCAGTGGTAAAGCTGAGTAAGCATATCTAATGCGTCGAACATCCATATAAATTGAATCTAGATTCATAAACAAATCTTTTGATATCATGCACACAATGTTCGTTTCAGACATTCACAGTTTTGGTATTGTTCAGTTCATATCAACACATTTTATTCAATTCAGATACTATTTCAATAGTGCTCTTAAATTATTCTTAATCTAAGGCCAGATCATAACAACCCTCTTTGCTATTCTTAGTCTAAGGCCAGATCATAATAATGCTCTTAGCTATTCTTAGTCTAAGACCAAATCATAATAATGCTCTTAGCTATTCTTAGTCTAAGGCCAAATTATAATAATGCTCTTAGCTATTCTTAGTTTAAGACCAAATCATAACTTTCATAACCAGATTCTTTTAAGACAATTATTGATCAGACACTTAAACTATCATTAGTTTAAGGCAATTGATTTCAGACACTTAACTGTAGTCACATAAGGCAATCAGACACTTAAACTATTACTAGTTTAAGGCAAACAATTCAGACACTTAATCGTAGTCGGTTAAGGCAACAACAATATAGCGATTGATTAACATTGGATCGGACATTCCCAAACGAGTAATCCTCTAGTTTGGTCTACGAATCCCGTTTATACATTTTTATTTAATTCATCAAATATTCATGTTTTCATAAGTCTATTCTAATACGGAGTACAAGTTATATTCTAGAGGTCTTCTAGATAGCCTTAACACCAATTAACTAATGAGTATATCTTAGAGTTCTTCTAGATACCGTTAACAATACAAATTGTTTAATAATTATCAATATATTCATTTTACTCATGGTTCAATAATAAATAATAATTTTAATCAGTAAATTCATCATTCATAATCATCCATAATAATCATTCATCATAATCATCAATCAACATATCAATTGATAACAAATAGTGGTCTAGTTTCGAGTCTTAACACCCGGACTTACCACCATGCATCACATAACATTTTTATTTTTTAAAAACATCATTTTTATTGTAAAGAACCATCCTTAAAATAATCATAATCAATAGGTATCAAAAATAGGATTTTAGAGCTCAAAAATAGCAATTTCGGGCAAATTTTCGGATCAGAACTTCGGGGGATCGATCCAGCCCTCTGGATCGATCCATACTATGAAAAATCACTCCCAGGGGATCGATCCAAGCCCCTGGATCGATCCAGACAGTGGTGTTTCAGCCACTGTTCATCTTCTTCTTCGTTTGGGTCCAATTTCGAAAATACCGTTTTTAGTTATCGAACTTCAACAAAACTATATAGAGATGTTCTCCAAAGTTCATAGATCATTTTGGCATCATTAATTCATAGTTTTAACATCAATTTCATGGTTTATGATTCTTGGTTCTTCAAGCATGTCAAACACAAAACTCAACCAAACGACCGTTTATGAACGTAGAAACGATCTATATGAACATTCTAGTCACTAGATATATCTACGGGCTTACCTCGAAATTTAATGGAAGTTTTAGAAATATTCCAGCAAAACTTCCGGCGATGATAACTCCCAACTCTAGCGACTTCGGTGGCAACCAACAATACCAGATTGCTCTCCTCACTCTTATGAACACAATGATACTAAAATTGTAACTTTTGGTGAAGAATGAGAAGGTTGATGATACTCTTATATAGGGAAGGGAAGGAGAAGGAGACGCAGTTGCTGAGTCATTGACGATTCACGCTAGGCTTAGTGCGCTGGGAGGCGCCGTTCGCACAGTGTCCCTGATTGGGACCGATTTTGGTTCCAGTCGGGGTACATTTTTTTGTCCAACTTTCTCCGAATTAAAATCTGTTTGCACCGTTGCGATCGTGTAGTTAAACTCTATCCAACAATATAATTTTCATATTTATTTGTAATACTTTTTCCGACATCATATTTTTAGGTGTTTGACTTTGACAGAGTCAAAATTGGTTTAATTTACCTTTCTCATAAAAGGTTCTCTCATTTAATTCATATCAATTATTCTCATGATTTATTTTAAGAAATCATTTCAATTTTTACATTCTAAACAAATTCTTTATTTACTCCTGATTTGGGTCTGTACTCAGGTTTCCAATCAAGACCACACAAATAGTCCACATACTAGATTTATCTCTATGAGACTTATCCAGATTTTGATATTGGATGTCAAAACACATTTCATATCGTCCCAAAGCCCAACAATAATTTATTTTAATCAAAACAAATTTGATTAATTGATTATTTATTCATTAATAATTTTAGGGTATGTTTTGGGGCGTTACATATTTTAAACGGTTAAATTAATATAAACATGTATTTTGGTAATAAAGTATTCACACAGGCCATGTTAAATAAAAAATCTAATGGTAATAAAGTATTCACACCACAAAAGGTAATTAAAAACATAATTACCATAATAAAGTAAGGCTAATAAAATATATATTTTATTTTGGTATTATGTTAATTTATACAAATGGTAATTGTATGTAATTATATTCACTACTTTATATGTAATAATATCTAATAAATTATTACATTTAAAAATGGTAATATATACATGTATTTTGAATGAAAAAATTCATATAAAGTATTAAGTACGTATATTTAATATAAAGTATTAAGTACGTATATAAAAACGATAATTAAAAAACTAATTACCATAATAAAGAAACGCTAATAAAATAGATATATTATTATGTTATCCTTTAATATAACCGTGTATTTTGAAATTGTAACTAAAAATAGGAAAATACGTATAGAGTAATGTACATTTTTAACACGTATACAAAAATGGTAATAAAAAAAATAACATTAAAATGGCCAACCTATGGGAAACAATTAAAATGGTAAGTAATTTAAAAGTAATAATAATTCTTTTGCACGGGTCATTAATGTTACACGATTTTGTCTCATTCCCATTTATGGAAAAAGTTCCAATTATTACCAATTAATAAGAAAGGAACACCGAAATTCATAAATTTATATAGTATAAATACGCTACCTTACCGGGTGAGATAAGCAAGATAATCAACGAGTGTTTAAATTCAACGAGTGTTTTAATTGATCGGTGCTCCACCATCGTTTTTTGTACGAACATGGGGATGATTACGCCTTAAAAACTGTTGACGAAAGTTCTGGATTATTGATGATGAAGCTAAGAGCGGTTAGAGTTTACCATGTTCCTGCTCATTCTCGAGTGCCGGAATCATTAGATATTGTTTTCCACGACTCCGAGGTTAGTTCTACATTATTTTATAGTTTACATATAATAAATCTTTAAACAAGAAATATAAATTTAATTATAGATTAACGTTTTATATTTGTTGTTAGGGTGATCGGATCCATGCTCAGATCAAAGATACTAATATACGCATATTCAAAGAAGATTTGCAAGAAAATGCGGTTTACTTAATCATGAGGGTCAAGGTGATACGCAATTTCCAAGGCACAAAAACTACCAATCACGCACCCTTGCATGCTGCAATTTTTTGGAAGAGCCAAGATTAAAAAACTATCGGAAAATGGATTTCCTAATTTTCGATTCAACTTTAAGAGTTTTGAAGATGTACTCAAAACAAAGTTTGCTAACCAAGTCTTTTTAGTTGGTAAGAGTCATTTACATTTACATAACTTAAATACTTACACATATGAAATAGATTTCATATATTATGATTATGAAATTTATAAAATTGTATTTTTCTGAATTTTCAGATATAATCGGGAAAGTAGTTGTGATTCCAAGACTATCATTAACACCGTCCGATACAAGAATTCCTTTCAAGTTTCAAAGAAGACAATTCCCTGTGGTTACTTCGTATGCAATGACGATTAACAAGAGCCAGGGACAATCTCTGAAACATGTTGGACTACTGTTACGAAAACCTGTGTTTAGTCATGGACAACTCTATGTTGCAGTTTCAAGAGTAACTAATCGTAATGGATTCAAGATTCTGATATGCAATGAAGACAATACTCCCACAAAGACTACAAATAATGTAGTCTATAAAGAAGTCTTTCGAAATTTGTAAAACATTGATGTTCTATACCTTAAAATAATATAATCTCTATATTCTATTACATCTCATTTTTTATCATTGAAAAATGATCTGAATTTAATAACATAAAAATGACCCGTGCAACGCACGGGTGTGATACTAGTGACACTAAAATTAAAGAGATATCAACCTCCTCAGCTTTCTTCTTTACCATTACTATCTCGACCAAATACACACCTTACAAGAGGGCTCATGTCACCAAATAGTTGTTTTATTTAAAGAGCTTTCACAAATATTTATTTATTCAAACAAATGACACGAACATATTATTGGCATGTGTAGGCATATTGGTTGTTGTTTCTAACCATTTTACGAGTCATGTATACAGTTTGTAAGTAGGGACAGCCATTAAACTTTGGGCTCGACTCATGACAAGACCAAATTCCTCGGTCATGTCCAAGTCTTCGAGTGGAGCCCCGTTTGGGAGGCTCCAATCGAAGCAGTGCACCAATTGTGCAACCACTAGCCGAACCGCGGTGATTCCAAGCTGCAAGCCAGGACAACCCCTCCTCCCCGACCCGAACGGGAGGAGCTCGAAGTTTTGACCTCTGTAATCAATATTGCTTCCATCAAACCTCTCGGGGTTGAACCTCTCGGGATCGCTCCACACGTCTGGGTCCCGCCCGATTGCCCAAAGGCTTATTATAACTCTGGCGTTTTTCGGTACGTGAAAGTCGTCAACCGTGCAATCCTCCATGGCTGCATGAGGGAGTAAGAAAGGTCCCACGGGATGAAACCTGAACGTCTCTTTTATCACCATTTCTAAATATTTCAAGCCCTCCAAGTCCTTCTCAGCCACCATTCTCTCAGGCCCTACTTGTCTCTCCAACTCTTTCTTCAATTTCAGCATCATTGTTGGGTTCTTTATAAGTTCTGACATTATCCACTCTATGGCTGTTGATGATGTGTCAATTGAAGCCACAAGCAAATCCTGCAAGGTATGGTAGAAGAAAAATTGGAGAAGATAAATCTACCAAATCAATAAAAACAAGTACTTCATCCGTCTTTGAAAATCTTTTTCCTTTTTTCTTTCATCCGTCCCAAAACAATTTTCTCATTTTTATTAAAAAGTCACTTTTACCCATACTAATTTTTTAACCAGCCTATTACGTCACATCTATTCACTATTAATTTACCTATCAAATAAATTCTACTTTTACCCATCACATCCAACTATTCAAGAATATTTTAGAAAACTCAACACTTAAATACACTCACCTTAAATCCCTTAAAAATCAAAACATCTTATCTTTTCAGGGACAGAGGGAGTATGTTATAGGCATGGTTGATTTTTTTTACAAAAAATTAATTAGCTTAATTTAATTACCAAAAAAATTTAGAAATAAATAAAAATAACACTACCTATGTTTCAATGTTTGAATTTTTTGAATCAAATTAGACAAACTTTGAATCTCAATTAAATAAATATTTTTGCAACACTTTGATTTGACTATCAATATCTTTATTTATAGATAGATATATTATAAAAATATAATATTTCAAACTATGTTTCAAAATTAACTTATTGATATATACTCACTCCGCTCCTTTAAACCCTTCCTATTTTGACTTTGGGCCAAAATAAGGAAAGTGTATTTTTGGTTAATTTTCCAATTTCGCGCTTGATGTGATGGATGGGTAAATAAGATGTGATAGTTTGGTTATTAGTGAAAAAGTATGATGTGATAAGTAGGGTATGAAACAGTAGGGGTAAAAGTGGATTTTTAATAGAAAGTGGAAGTGTTTTAAAAAATTGAAAAAAACGAAAGGGGAGGGGTTTTATGAAACAGATGGAGTATTAAATTTATATCACAATTCAATATTTTTTTTGTAATTTGTAGTTAAATTTTAAGAAATTGATCTTGAAAATCAAACTAGATATATATATATATATATATATATATATATATATATATATATATATATATATATATATATATATATATATATATATATATAAAAGAGAAGCAAATTAAAAAAAATTGGAGGAGCTTAAATTATTATTATTATTATTATTATTATTATTATTATTAATTACCACCATCATAGATTTGACATGTTCACGTGTGAAGGGAAATGAAGTCTCCTTGTTATTCATAATTCGGAGAATGATGTGGACAATGTCTTCTAACATTGGAGGTGGCGCCGCCGCCGGGTGTTCATGCTCATCAATGATCTTCTCAAGGAATTGGTCTAAGAGCTTGGCGGCCGCCTTCATCCTTTGACCCAACCCTTGGACATCAAGCGCACCAAGAAAAGGGAAAAAATCCCCTAGGTTAGGGATACCCCCCACCCGGACCACCTCGGAAAAGACAGCCTTCAGCCCGCCTTCTTTGTCAACCATATCCTTTTCCTCGTACTTCTTCCCGAACAACATCCTACAGCTCATGTTCCCACTCATGGACGCCACTTTGGCACTCAAGTCCACGGCCTCCCCGCGGCGGGCCGACTGCTTCAAAGAGTCTACGAGAAGGCACAACTCCTCCCTTCTCGTCGACTCGTGCAAATTGATCTTGTGGCTGGTGAGGAGCTGCACCGTGAAGAGTTTGCGCATCTCGCGCCAGAGCTCCCCGTACTGCCCAAACACCAAGTCCTTCTGGCCATACGTTAGGTGCTTGATCATCTCCATGGGCGGTCTCGTCGCGAAATTGAGATCGTGTGTTTTCAGGAACCGCTCGGCTGCCCCCGGGGAGGAGACCACGATGTTGTCCACCGACCCGAACCGGAGATGCATGACGGGGCCATGGATTTGGGAGAGCTTGTGAAAATCCCGGTGAGGGTTGTTTTTGCTTATCAAATGGAGGTGCCCAACTATGGGAAGCCCTTTAGGACCCGGGGGCAACCTTTTCTTCTTCTTTTTGGTCGTCGTCTCTTTCGAAACGACGACGAGCGATAACATTATTGTTGTTATTGCTGCAACAACTCCCGCCCAAATCCATGATGTTGTGCTCATCATCATGATCACCGCCGCCGTGTTCGTGTCTACCATCTTCTTTAATTAATTTTTTCTTGGAATATAATATAATTGAATTGGGTGGCCGTTTATATATGTATCAGTACACTTCAGTCACACCCATGCTTTTCTAAGCTAGCAACTCACCTACCTTATATATAATGGAGGCTACGAAACAAGCCAAGCCTTTAGATATTTTTTTATTTTATTTTTTTTCCTGAGTTTTGATTTTTATGAGATTTAAGAGAGTGTATTTTGGTGTTGAGTTTCCAAAAATATCTTTTTGGATGTGATGAGTAAAAGTAGGATTTGATCGGTAGATTAATAGTGAATACATTTGATGTGATAGATAAGTTAAAAATTAGTAGGGGTAAAAATAAATTGTTAATAGAAATGAAAAAACTTTTTAGGATGGATAAAAAAAGAAAAAAGAAAGATTTTCAGGGAGGGAAGGAAGTATATACCATGCATTTAATTTCATTTGTATTAACAATTGTATGTTCCCTTGTACAATTGTTTGGTTGGGAAAGAAAGAGAATGGAACATTTGTATTTTCCCTTGTTATGATTGAGTACATTGCATTTAATTTCAATTTTCAATAATGCCCCTCTTGTAAAATAATGTTCCCTTAATCTGGAAATATTTTTTGTGCATTAACTTGTCACGCTTATTTAAGCGTAGAGAAAAGTGTCCAACTTTCAAGAGTGTTCCTATTTTAATTTAGGGGCAAATTAATTTGGATGGGTGTTATTGACATTTACTTTGAAAAATTAAACTAAAAAGGAAATGAGAAAAACGTTTAATTTTACGGATGTACCGAAAAGGAAAGTGAAAAGAACATTTCGGGAACGAGTGTTTTTTGATGCACCTTGGGTGCATATCAATTTTGTTAACCTTTACACATAATTTTTTTTTATTTGAAAAAGCAAATGCTTATTTAGTAAAAAATACTTATTTTGCTCATATGTAGGTCAATGATAGACTTTAGGTCCACCATATAACTTGTCTTCCAAAACATAGTGATCATGAGCACTCGCGTTTAATTTACCCTTAATCATTTCATTTGCCCCTACTCAACTTCCAAGAATGCCCCTACTCATTAAATATTTTACGTATTGCCTAGCTAGCCTGTATTTTTTCTACTCTATTCTTTGGTTTTAATAACCTTTTTTGTGTTCACTTTGATAATTACTCCCTCCGTTCCACTCTTTTTGTCCACTTTCATTTTTGCACACCATCCAATGCACTTCTTTAATCCATTTTATCTTGTAATTTGTATATTAAAAAATTATAAAAATTATATATTAATAATCTATATGTTAAGACAAATCAAACAAGATCACACATGACTATTTTTAGACTTACACATTGAGAGAATTTGATGAGTCAAAGTGCTTAGATGAACAGTTCCAAAAGTCAAAACTGGACAAAAAGAGTGGGACGGAGGTAGTAATTACTATTACTGTATTAGTTTGTAATTACTATTTGGAATGCTTTGAATTGAATTATTTTGCTCGTTATTTGTTTTTTTCTAGTCATGAGTTGACTTTGTGTTTAGATTTCTAAAATTTACTCCCTCCGTCCCAAATTATTTGCAATGTTTGCTTTTTCAGCAGTTGCGGGAATTTTTGTTTATTTCTATGTTTTCATTGGTTATTTGATAAAATAAAATATTCTTGACACCTCTTATTTCGAAGAACTTTTCATGTAGTTTTTTGATATGTAAATTTTATTTTTTATTTCTATACCAATATGTAAATAAAATGAATTGAAAAGAGTTGATATTTTGCCTCGGGAATACAAATGTGGCAAATATTTAGGAACGGAGGAAGTATGTTTTATGTGCAATGTGTTTCGACTTTATAAAGTTCCTTGTATTGCTTTTTTTTTCAGCAAAATAAAAAACTTAACTCAATTTTAAGCAAGGATTCAATCTTTCCAGTTCGGTCCATGTGATTTTGGTCCCGTCTGGTCAATTTTGTAACATAAGATCCATATATTTCAATGATTGTTAATTGTTAACAATTTTATTACTCTCTCCGTTCCACAAAATCCTTCCTCTTTCGTTTTTTTGCTTTCCACAAAACATTTCCACTTTCTACTAAAAAACCACTTTTACCCCTACTTTTTCATACTCTACCTATCACATCATACTTTTTCACTAATAACCAAACTATCACATCTTACTTTTTCCCATCACATCAGGAGCAAAAGTTGAAAGTCAACCAAAATTACATTTTCCTTATTTTTCCCCAAAGTCAAAACCGGAAGGGTTTTGTGGAATGGGGGGAGTAGTACTGTATTATATATTGATGAATTGATTAATATTTTTATATCGAGGAATTACCTAAATAGGACTAAAACACAATGACTTTCTTAATATATGACCATATGTTTTAATTTTCCAATGTAGTACCATTGATCGTTATCTATTAGTCATTATTCTAGCTTAGTAAGTGTACACTTAGACATTATTTCTCCTTCTATACATTATTAGGTACTCCCTCCGTTCCACAAAACTCTTCCTCTTTCGTTTTTTTTTGCTTTTCACAAAACACTTCCACTTTCTATTAAAAAACTACTTTTACCCCTACTTTTTCATACCCTACCTATCACATCATACTTTTTCACTAATAACCAAATTATCACATCTTACTTTTTCACATCACATCAGGGGCAAAATTGGAAAGTCAACCAAAATTACACTTTTCTTATTTTTCCCCAAAGTCAAAACCGGAAGGGTTTTGTGGAACGGAGGGAGTATTATTTAAGGAATATAAAAGTTTAAGTCCACCATTGAAAAATTATTTATGTTTTAGTCATATTTAGTACAAATTTCATTTTTATATATCATCATCATCACAAAGTTAAAAATACTCCCTCCGTGTCCCACCAACTCTTGCTCATTTCTTTTTTTTGTGTCCCATAAATTATTTATTCTTTCTATTAAAACACTACTTTAATTTTATCCCTACTAATATATTTCATATCTATCACATCATGTTCATTAACTAATAATTTTTCCATCACATCATATTTTTACACATCGCATCAAAGGTACTTTGAAAAAATCAACACAAAAATATATGTATCTTAAATCTCATAGAATTTAAAACAAGGGCTTTGTGTGATATATGAAGTATTAAAGTTATTATAATAATTTTAACTTTATTTTGATTAAGATCATATTAAATTCAATTAGATCTAATAAGATTAGATCCAATCGGATGAAATTAGATGAGATCGGTTTGAATAAGAATATAATCAGATCCAGTCATGTATGCCTATGTTCCAAATTACGAGAGGTAATAAAGGCCATTATCCTATTTTCCATTTATTTTTAAACGTTATTCTTTATATTGTTTTAAAAATTTCAAATTTTTTGTGGGAAATAACTTAAATAAAAGTACACTATTATATATTTTAATTGTCTCAAGGTAAAAAAATTCAATTTTTGTTTTCCAAAATAAGAAGAAAATAAAAAATAAAAAATAAAATAAAAAAGAGAAACAAATGGAAAAGAGGAAATTAAAATATAAAAAATGAAAAATATACTCTTCTTGAAAAGGTAAAATGTAGACATGAAAAATTGGTAGATAAGGTTAGTTTTGGGGACGTCCAAAATTTAGATTTTTTGGATAACATTTTCCAGGAAAACAGAAAATAATGAGGATATTTTTTTGGACCGACGGCCAACAAATTCATTTTAAAAAAAAAAATCTCTTTTTATTTTTTAAATTAGAAAGAATAATGCTTTTGGATATCTAAAAAACAAAGTTTTTTGCACTTCCTAAAAAGAACCTTATTTATGCGGCACTACATGTTTACATTTTCTTTTTATTTTTGAAGAATATTTGAGTTTCTTCATCCTATTTCTATTTTATTTCAAATAGAAACAATATTGATTTCTAAAATAATTATAAAGAACAATTTCAAATAAAAATAAAAAATGAACGAAGAATAAGATATTGAGTTTGATCACTTTGATGCCATGTGATTTAAAAATTAGACATCAATCTTCCTCTTTGCCGAAAAAAAAAAATGAACGGAAAAAGTTAGAGGTGCAGCGGTGTTGAAATTATAAAGATTATTTTAAAAATAAGTTTTCAAAATAGAGAGAGTATTGGTCCCTATTTTTTCCAAATCACCAGAGACTAAAATTATTACTCTATTTGTCCTTTATTTATTTAATCTTGCTTTTTCAACACTGTCAGAATATAAATAACTGTTCCTGGGCCACAACCACAAACTTGAGCTTTTGGTTGAGTTGGTTCCTTGACATGATATCGGAGCTTCGTTGACTAAGAGGGTCACGGGTTCGAAACTTAGCGCCACCCAGTTTAAAAAAATTTAAGGTTTCACGTGCAAGGCTCGAAAAAGACTACGCCTGCACGTGCGGTGGCGTGTCAGAATATAAATAACTGTTCATGGGCCACAACCATAAGCTTGAGCTTTTGGTTGAGTTGGTTCCTTGACAAACATACTTTACCTTATGTATAAATTAGTATCTAAACAAAAAAATAGAACTGTAAAATCTGAACCGCCAAAAACCAAATCGATAAACCAAAGGTTCACATATTTTCGTGAAACCGAACCAAGGGTTATAATTAATGATTACGTTTCTTAAAATTGATTCAAAAGAGTCAAATTAGATGAATATTTTAAAACTGAAAAGGTCCGTTTGGTACACGGAATTAATGGAATTAATATTGAATTAGAAGTTGGAATTCTATATAATTGATTTGGGTGAAATTGAATTCTCTAATTCCTGTTCATTTTTGGCGCTACCACTTCCAAATCCACATACTCTTGTGCTACCAAATACTAGAATTAGAATTATTATCCCTCATTCCAATTCCATAGTTCGAATTCTGTGTACCAAACAGAGTTAAAGAGTACTTTTTAAAAGGGATCTTAATAGCTGTTGATTACCGCCTCAGAAAAAAATAGTTTTACTGCCGCCGCCATAGGATTCAATCGCCAGAAAAACGGAGTTTGTTGCTGTCGAAGAAGTTGACAGTAATCCATATCAATTGGGCGTATAGTAGTAGGGAGTGCCATAAATT